TTGAGTTAAGCCCGCGGAGTTAAGCCCTTTTCGAGTTAAGCCCCAACCACAATTTTTTATGAAAGGTAGGCATATGGACAAATACTGGTAAATTTTTCTACTTTCTTCGAGTTAAGCCCCTATTTTTTAGACTGCTTAACTTGAAGTACCCAACTCCAGTTATGAACCTTGAGTTAAGCCCTCAACAGATATGGGTGTGGCATGGGCGTGGTTTAACTCGAAAAGGGCTTAACTCAAAGGGCTTATAAACTCGAAGGGCTTAACTCTAAAGGCTTAACTCGAAGATTTTCTACCCCTTTACCAGTATGGTCTGTTACTCAGATTCAACACCCAGCACCATTATTCTCCACCGATCGAGTACAATTATTTCCAACAACAGTTATCACAGTTGTTTATATTATTTATAACATACTATTTATCATTCACATTCATCAATAAAGTTATATATTATATGGGTTTTATGTCAGGGTATTATCACTGAGAATCATGTTGAAAATACAGATGGCAAGACTGATTTAGGGATGATGAGTAAAGTTGCAGCCACCATGTGGAAACGATGCAGTCCTGAAGTCCGGCAGGTTGGTATGCAATCTTGGTAAACATTCAAAAATATTTATGAGACAGTAAATGTCAGTGGCGTTAAGCCAGCTTAATAATTGGGGGGCACATATTCATGTCTTCGTGTTCTGCATTATTCAATTCTTTTGAAATCGATTGTTTTTATGGTCTGTGAACATGAATATATGCCCCTCCCCCAATTATCGAGCTGGCTACAATGATGCAGTCAGTTTTTATATTTTGTATTTTAAGGTGTATGAAACCAATACTAATAATGCTTTTGACAAATTAACAGGACTGGAAAAGGCAAGGGCAACTTATAAAAGAGGACATAGATTGTGGTATTTTGGAACATGTATGTAAGAAGTGTTCAAAAAAATTCAGTCGAGCAAAAGATTTGGTATATCATGAAAAGCAATGTGGGCCATGCTTGTGTGACTGTTGTGGTAAGCAGTTTTCTGGTGGTGAAGCCTTAAAAAGACAATTAGAAGCCATGATCCTTCTCAAAATAGATGTGAAATTTGTGAAAAGACATTTGCATCGAAGCAGTCACTGGAAAGGCATGCAGGCAAACATACAAAGGTCAAAAAATATATGTGTGAAAAATGCCAGTGCAGATTCACATTAAAGCCAAACCTTCACAGACAGGAATAAAGTTGTTAATCACTGAGTTTGTCACTGACAAGAAAAATCTTTGCATTAAACCATTGAGCGAGAGGCATTAGTCAGAGTAAAGGTGCACTTCCAGTTAATCAATATACAAGACAATGCTTTAGCATTGAAGTTATTGGTACGGTAAGAAAACATTGGTTCAATTGAACCTTATTAGTACTTTACTTGTTGGTAGAAAAGTACTGCCAGTTACAGTTGATTTCACAAAGCGTTTGGCAACTATATTCGGATTGTAAACAAGCATAAATTTGATTCCTGGACCAATCAAAAGCTTTCTTTACTAATTGGTTTATGAATTTCAATATGAGCTTCTGAATTTTTGCGAACTTTGGAAGAAGTTGGGAATTAAAAATTTGTTAAGGTGGCTCGATATAGTTATCACAAAAACCCTGTTCAAGAATCGCGAACTCAAAACCGGGTGACCATTTTTACGCGCAGGTCGCGGAAACTGATTAACAAAATGAAAGAACTTCCAAAATGACCTGACGTGAGCAGTTGCTCGCGCCATATCACGCCATTGCACGTGTTCTATAGCGTTTTATGTCAATTGCTGACGTCATTAGAATTTTCCATTTTAGAAAAACAATGCGCTATATCTCTTTATTTTGTCTGGTGACCTATGTTCAAATTTTGCATGCCGTATTGCACCGCTAAAAATTTTCATTATACAAAAAATAAAAAAATTCTGTAATGCCACAAAAATGTTACCAAAGAATATGACATTTTCGCATTTTCCAAAAAAATGGCATTACAGAAATTTTTTATATTTTGCTAATTGTTAGCTTTTCGTCCAAGTAAAATAATAGTAAAATAAGGTCAATGGAACTCTTCTCAAACATAAAGCCAATGTTTTCAGCTTCTTATACTGTATTAAATTCATACGAATTATAATATACGACAAGTTTTCTTTACTATCATTTATTTGAAGGAATTTGTTTTGGCCGTCGTCGTAGTGCTGCCGTCCTACATGCTTAAGCTCCCTAATAATAATGAATTAGAAAATCCAAGATGGCCGCCAACCTAAGAGTGTCCACAAAATTTAAGTGCTTAGAGCGGCTTAAAAATGCGGGGTTTTTTTGCTACCGACGTACTCGAAATCAGATTCTTCAGCTTTTATTACATGGGAACTATGTAGTGGCTGTTCTTCCAACTGAGTTTGGTAAATATCGTTCGTTCGCTAAACAAAATAAAAGCCAAAATATAATAGTATTACGACAGATGTTCTCCAGCTGGACAGGCTTGCCTAAGAGGACACGGAAAGTGTTTTGAACTGGGGATGTTAAACTTGGTTTTACCCTTCCAAAGACTCTGCTGTGCGACGATTGGAGCGAGTTTATGAGGAATATTTTTTACAGTGATTCAAAGAAATGTTTTTGCATATACTGTATATGTTATTGATTTATTCTTGAATGTCACTTATATTATAAAGTGCCAATGGTTGGAATAATTATTCATTGATATTTTAAACACAAATGAAGTGTTATATGCTCTTTCCTTGTTTACGTTTTCCTTGGAGCCAAATGTTGTTGAACCCGCCAAGCTGCAAAACTGACATATGAGTGATATGACCCAAATATTGGATATGCATCTTAGTTTGCTTCCAGGAAAATGTAAACAAGACCTTAAGAATTCTATACGAGATAAGAAATATTACGTTTAAAATCATGACTGGCAAATTAGCATGTGCGAATTGATGCTTCCTAATAATAGTATGTACTCCAGTAAAGCTTGCTTGCTTCAATTCTTGCTCTTACCATCTGCACATTATCAGGGTGGAGAGTTGTTTTGAATTTTTTGTCTCAGGGGATAAAGGTGGGGAATATAGCTTCTCCATCACAAAAGGGGCAAGGTGCCCAACCAGTTAGAAGTGGGAGATTCTTATGTCAAAATGTCATGGGACCCCTTTTTAATCTCTTAATTTAATAATGGAGACCCTCCTAAATATTTAAGACTATATAACATGATGCAATTCTAATCTTCATTCATGTGAATGCCTGACTATGAAGAAAATACATTTTGCAACACAGGGATGGATCCAGCATGATCTGGTGGGGGGGTGGGTGCTCTGCCAGCTCTGGTGCCGAGTTGTGTCGGTCATGTGTGTCACCCGCCCATCAACTTGCTTCACTACTGCAAAGTCTTGCTTTACTACTGTATTTGAATTGTAATTGTTGTTCACAGCTTGCTTATCATCATGTTATTACTCAAATTACTGTATCTCATTTTGCCTGTAATAATTTTTTGCTTTATCATGAAAAATATAACCCCCTGCACCCACTCTGGCCAGGGCTAGGAGAGTGCACAGCCCCCCTCCCCCCCCCCGCAGTAAATCCATCCCTGTTGCAACATACACTACAAGAGCTAGAATGATTGCTTCCTTTGGATGATTTGTCTTAGAATTATATTACCTATATTACAACAATTCCTCCTATTCTGAAACCAGTTGCTATTCTGTTTTTTACAACACTCCCCCCCCCCAAAAAAAAAAAACTCAACAAATCAAGGACCCCCTCCAAGGCAATTTTGCCAGCAAAATAGATTAAATTTGATGGTAATTGTTCTGAGAACATATTAACTCATTGAGTGGCAGCATTCTGCCTAGACTTGCCACAAGTCGACCTCAAACGAAATGCAAGCAGCGAGTGTGAGCCAACGTTTCGTTCAAGGTCGACTTGTGGCAAGTCTACATTCTGCCCTTGAGTAAAATTGTCTGGCACCAGACAGAGTAATATACTAAAGTAGGGACATTGCCACTATAAAGGGTTAAACAAATTAAAAAAATTTTTGCAATGGTCTATATTCAAAAAGCTCAATTTGTAAATTTTAATTGACTTTAATTAATTAAATTAATATAACTACTTATACTTATAGCTACCTTGCCCCAGTCACTTCAAGTGAATTCTACGGGAGGAGGGGGATATTGAAAATCCCTGGGTTTACTTGGTAAAAGCAAGAATTGAACCATGCATTACATGTATATGGAGAGCAGTTTTAAATATATTTTATCATGCAAATACCTTGATAATTGTTCTTAAACGTCTTTGGCTTAGAATGGGTACACCCTCCAAAGGTGTTTATTTACAGGGTCCAAAGGTGAAAATATACACTGTCCAAGATGTTAATATAAACAGCGAAAACAATGTATATAATTAAATTTTATTACATAAATTGTGGAAAATTTTACAAATTGCATTACCATCCCAAAGTTTACATAATTTATCAATATAATTAGAACTTAAAAGCTGTTCACATGAGTTTGACTCAGCACCCTTGACTAGCTCCCCTTGCCCGATCACAAGTAGAAAACCTCCAACCCTCTCTAACAAATCAGTCCAGATCTGCCCAAGAGGCAGGATTTTCTGGAATATTATTAGCAGTGAAATTGTTGCATATTTTCAAGCATGCATTGTAACCTGATTTTAAAGCCTGTTTGAACATCAGCCATTGTGGCAATGGCAAGATGGTCCAGCCATATGAATACAATCATAAAATATCATAAAAACAATGCAATTTAAGGCCAGACAGCCCAACTCCTGCGAACAGCCCTTTATTGCAAATTCGAAGCATCTCTTGAGGCATCAAAGTACTGTACATGCAGGCACATGGAATTACATACGAGTATGTGACATAAGCCCACCATTGTACAACTTTGTCTGCAACAATGCAAGTACAACAAATGCAAATACAATCAAGCTGGAAACGGATTTTATCAGTATTTTGATATATACATTATGGCTCATGTCTGAAGACACCTGCACTTTCATATTGTAATTGTTCTAATATCATCCAAACAAAACACATCAGAAAACTGTAACATCAGCCAAATGAGCAAATCACTTTTTTAACGCAATTTATGGTAAAATGAAGCAACATGTAATAGTAGCTGAAACAAAACCAAATCACATATTATTCAATGTTGATATTGCATATATGATATAACAAAATATCGTCGCATTCCAAGTGGTAACTAACTATAAATTAGGCCAATTTAAACTCGACTATGAAGAATATCAAAAACTAAAAGTCATGTTTCAGTTTATAGCCTAAACCCAGACTTTAGTTTTATAAATATAAACATTATAAACGCA